ATAGGTCACACAAAGACCGACACGTCAAACAATAGGTCATACAAAGACCGACACAACTAAATATAGGTCACACAAAGACCGACACACCAAACAGTAATTCACCAACAGACCGATACAAAAAACAATATGTCACAGAGGGACCGGCACAACAAACAATAGGTCACACAGGGACCGGCACAACAAACAATAGGTCACACAAAGACAGACACGTCACAAAATAGGTCATATAAGGACCAACACACCAAACAATAGGCCACACAAAGACCAACACGTCAAACCATAGGTCACACAGAGACCGACACACCAAACAATAGGTCACACAAAGACCTACACACCAAACAATAGGTCACACAGAGACTTGCACATTTAACAAACGATCACACAAAGGCCGACGCACCAAACGATAGGTCACACCAAACATAAGGTCACACAAAGACCGGCACATTAAACAAAGGTCACACACAGACCGACATACCAAACAATAGGTCACACAAAGACCGACACACCTAACAATAGGTCACACAGAGACCGGCACACCTTACAATAGGTCACACAAAGACTATCACAACAAACAATAGGTCACAAAGAGACTAGCACATTTAAGAAAAGATCACACAAAGACTGACACACCAAACAATAGGTCACACAAAGACCGACACTTTAAACAGTAGGTCACACAGATACTTGCACATTAATAAAATGTCACACACAGACCGACACACCAAACAATAGGTCACACAAGACCGACACACCACACGAAAGGTCACACAAAGACCGGCACATTAAACAAAGGTCACACACAGACCGACACTCCAACAAATAGGTCACACAAAGACCGACACGTCAAACAATAGGTCATACAAAGACCGACACAACTAACAATAGGTCACACAAAGACCGACACGTCAAACAATAGGTCACACATACTTGCACACCAAACAATAGGTAACACAAAGACCGACACACCAAACAATAATTCACCAACAGACCGATACACAAAACAATATGTCACACAGGGACCGGCACAGCAAAGAATAGGTTACACAAAGACAGACACGTCAAAAAATAGGTCATATAAGGACCAACACACCAACCAATAGGCCACACAAAGACTGACACGTCAAACAATAGATCATACAAATACCAACAAACCAAACAATAGGTCACACACTGAAGACACACCAAACAATAGGTCACACACAGACCGACACACCACACAATAGGTCATATAAAGACCAACCCACCAAACAATAGGTCACACAAAGCCCGACACGTCAAACAATAGGTCATTCAAAGACCAACCCACCAAACAATAGGTCACACAAAGACAGACACGTCAAATAATAGATCATACATGAACCAACACACCAAACAATAGGTCAAATCAAGACCGAAACGTCAAACAATAGGTCATACAAAGACCAACACACCAATCAATAGGTCACACACAGACTGACACACCAAACAATATGTCACACAGGGACCGGCACACCAAACAATAGGTCACACACAGACCGACACACCACAAATAGGTCACACACAGACCGACACACCAAATATTAGGTCACACAGAGACCGACACTTTAAACAATAGGTCACGCAGAGACCGACACACCAAACAATAGGTCCGACAGCGACTGAAACATCCAACAATAGGTCACATACTGAAATTCATTTGAAAAAAAAATCAATTGTGCCGATTTTTCAGTGGTCTTGCTTGATTCATTAAACTTTAGTATAAGGCATTTTCCTCTTGAGATTTACACGTTATTAATTCTGTGCTTGCATGACAGTTACGACCCTGATCATTTTACTCAATAGCATTGTATTTTTCAGGACCCGACGACGAACGCGTCAAAATCACCTTCTCCATGGTAAACGGTGTGAAGCTAGTGTATCCTCTCATTCGGGGTCAGAAGACGGGCTTAGACAAACACAGTACTACAAACATGTCGAAACGTGTTGTCAAGCAAAGTCACTTGAGCGTCTCCAACATGAAGAAGAATACTGGTGAAAGTAAGACGAAACTGCAAAAACAAAGTCTCGCTGACGCTAGAGAGACTTCCCCGAAGACACAACGAACGGCGTTTAAAATCCCGGTTAAGATTCTGACTCCACAGCAGGAAAGGGCCAAGAAATTAAGTCTTCTCGTGGAAGAACTTAACAAACATTCAAGCGGCAAATCGAAGAAGACAGCCAAGCCCCTCAGCTCCTTTACAGCAGTGGTCAGCGCGGCCTTGTCCCTTAGAAACAAAGAAAACCCATTCGCAGAAATTGATGAGTAGCGACGTCATCATTTAGATCAAAGTGGTGCACTCAGTGCATTGCAGAGTCGAGTCAGAGCCAAGAAGATGAGTGCTGAGTCCACTAGTGTTTTTGGATAAGAACATGTTCGGCGCATCATACAAACTTGCCACATTATGCACTTGGTGTTGTTTCCGGTGGTATATGTTACATGCGGAACCTGATAGCATGCCAATCACAATATATCTCAGGCCTAATATCAACTTTTAAAAAAACGTGGATATGCTGTCCTGAATTACTTTCGTAACAATATTAAAATATTATATTTAAATATATATTAAATAATGGTGTTTTATTTATTTATGATTGAACCAAATTATGGCGGGTTTCTAATACTGTTATGATTCAAAATGATAAAGTAAAGACAAATCTCAGCATATTATGTGTGAGAAATCGAACGATGAACACAAAACAATCATCAGGCTTTCCAGAAACAGTAATCTTCCTCAAACTGGCAAATCGACAGTTTTCTATTGAATGAAGGAATTGCGATTAATCTACTCCCACAAATAGATGGGGACAGATTTGTACGTATGTCTATGGTAATAATCTACATGTACCGTGTTTAGTAGAAAACGTATTTGGAAAAAAATATCAAATAAAAATCCAAATTTCGTTCAAATTATTATTTAAAACATGTTAAAAATGGTATACCTGAAATCCTCGGGAAATTTATAAACCGAACTTAATCTTCACTCTTTTCAATTACATTTTGTTTTTAGAGAAATGTTCAATACAAAATACGACGCAGAAGAAAGGACTTTACTTTGGTGTATTCTGTGGAGAGATAACTAGATTGTAGGAAAATTGATCACAAATCACAATATAAATGAATCATAACATTTACAATTAATACTTTTATAATCTTGATAAAATGAACAGACATTTTTTCATCAGTTAATTGTGCCCATCAATGTTCGGTTCCATTTTTAAGAAATGAACAAAATAATCAATATTTTGAAAGTTGTTTTACGTAATTAACATGATTCATTATTTAATAGGCAATAGATATTCACGTACACATGCAGAACTCAACAGTGTAATCATTTAAAATGACAACGAAGGGTCATTTCACGTTAACTGTGTACATCATATTGTACACATTACTCCATTATTTATGCAGTATAATAGTAAACACATATTCAAAGTAGTTTCATTAAAATATTATTATCCCGTCTATACCACATGCCTACGGTGCTGTTAACCAACACTTTATGACGGTATATGGTACGAATTGTTTTCTTCAATTTTATCTTACGAAGTATATTCCTGTAAAGTATAGAATGACATGTATGACTCAGTAGATTAAATACTTCTTTCCATTCATTGAGACTGGAAGAAAAAGAAATGTTCCTTCAGAACAAAGACACTATAAGGAATGTACCTCCACAGACATGAAAGATGAGTTATGCTTCTGTTAATTTGTAGTTAATTTCAAAATCTAAGAGTGCTGTTTTCCGACTATTCAGTTGTTAAGTGTCAAAAATAGTAAACAGCTATGCATATTAAGGAAGTTAATCTTTGAAACTATGAGAACCTCTTAGTTGATTATATTATGTATTATGTACATCATCCCTATCACATTCTCTATACATCGTTTTTTGTACATCATGTACCACATATAAGGGCCAATAGCCCAAGCTTTGAACAAATGTTGACATTATTGACATTTATGATATTATGATAAGTGAAAATTAAAATTATTTTTCCTATCTACAGTGTATGTCCACACAAAATCAGCTTGAGATTGAAATTTTGCAGACATAACTATAAAATAAAGGAAATATAAAAACAACATTCAGTCAACTGTTATTGTAACAGTTGAAATTTATAGAAAATGCATTACAGAATTTTAAATAATCTTTGATATTAAGATTAGTTAATGAGGCTTTACTTAATCAATAATAATTTAAGATTCTAAACAAATGTAGGCGGCTAGTACTGTACCTGTTATAATATCTGTAAAATCGTTATTATTTTCAGGTTAAATAAATGTATCCATTTTTTTTAATATTCATATTTCATCTACTACCACGTGTCAATATAATTCTTAACAAGGAAAATGGAATATTTCTCTGATTAAAGTAGACATAAGTTCTTAATTATAATATGTATTACAATACCATCTACATCATTTTGAAACAGACTATAACCAACTTGTGATCAGGTGTGAACATTGAAATGTATGCTAGGTGAGACTAGGTATTTTAGAAACGTATGCTAGGTGAGACTAAACCGAATGTCATGGCTAAAGGGCATGTATAACCGATCCTCCAACTAACACAGGTAGTATATGGTGTACCGGCGCGTTACTTTTTATTCCCGGTGTTGGAAGTAAAATGTATTTTTTTTTTGTATTATTTTTATTTTTCAAAGGTTTTTCTGGTTCAATATGCATAAATAGATACATTTTTTTCATAATCCCTTACACTCATTTGAACGCTCACTGCATTCACATATACTCACTCATCATTTCATAATGTTTTGTTATCATCATCATCATCATCATCATCATCATCATCATCATCATCATCATCATCATCATCACTCCAATATCTTTATCATGACAATGACATCATCCTCATCGTTACCATCCTGACATCAGTAAACTCATCATCATACTGATTTCATCGTCATGACACTCCAACTAGACATCATCATCCTCATCATCATCATCATCATCATCATCATCATCATCATCATCATCATCATCATCATCATCATCATTATCATCATCATCAGCATCATCATTATCATCATCATTATCATCATTATCATCATCATCATGACATAAAACACTGAAATCATCATCATCATCATCATTATCATCATCATTATAATCATCATTATCATCATCATTATCATCATCATAATCATCATCATTATCATCATCATTATCATCATCATAATCATCATCATTATCATCATTATCATCATTATCATTATCATCATTATCATCATCATCATTATCATCATCATAATCATCATCATTATCATCATTATCATCATTATCATTATCATCATTATCATCATCATCATTATCATCATCATAATCATCATCATTATCATCATTATCATCTTTATCATCATTATCATTATCATCATCATTATCATCATCATTATCATCATTATCATCATCATCATAATCATCATCATTATCATCATCATTATCATCGTTATCATTATCATAATCATCATCATTATCATATCATCATCATCATTATCATCATTATCATTATCATCATTATCATCATTATCATCATTATCATCATTATCATTATCATCATCATTATCATCATCATCATTATCATCATCATCATCATCATTATCATCATTATCATCATCATCATCATCATTATCATCATTATCATTATCATCATCATTATCATCATCATCATCATCATCATCATTATCATCATCATTATCATCATTATCATCATTATCATCATCATCATAATCATCATCATTATCATCATCATTATCATCATTATCATCATCATTATCATCATCATTTTCAGCATCATCATTGTGATCCCACTGATATATCCATCATGACACACAATCATCATCCAATTGACATAAACTTTTTCGTTATTATTATTATCATCATCACGACTAAAATCATCCTCATTCTCTCAATGATATCGATCATAATCGCACTTGTCATCATCAAGCTAATATCATCATCATTACTGAAATCAACATCATTCTCACAAATTAATAATATCGTAAGCACACTGTTGTCGTCATCAAACTGATATCATTATCATCATCATCATCATCATCATAATTATGACTGAAATCAACATCTTTCTCACAATAATATCAAAATCACACTGTTGTCATCATCAAACTAATATCATTATTATGACTGAAATCAACACCATTCTCACAATAATATCAAAATCACACTGTTGCCATCATCAAACTAATACCATTATCATCATCATCATAATCATGTCTAAAATCAACATTATTCTCATACTAAAGTAAAGTAAAATGTTATTGAAAGTATTGAAATCAATTTTACAAGCGTTTAACTGTATTTTAAATATGTTTTTCTCCCCTTAGGCTAGTAACCTTGACCGAAAACTGACGATGTTTCAACAGGTAAAAATGTATGTGTATTATAATTATACGATGTTAGTTTTTTTATGGAACATCTGATTTTAAAGTTTTATTATTTTTGTAGTAATGGTGGTGATGATATGACATTTATTGAATAGTTTAAAATACCAACATGGACATTTGTTTAGCAGCTTTTTTAACAAAAGTTTATCTTCATGGGCGAGAACTCGGGATGAGTTTACTTGTGGCACACTATTTTCAGAATAAACCTTCCGATTTTAGTATAAATCCAAACTAATCCATGCAGTTCCTATTTATGAAAATTACAAAAACGATGTTGTTAAGCCTAGTTGAATTGAATATCACCAACTAGAGCGAGCCCGGCAGATTTTTTTTCTATTTCGAGTTTGAATTTCACGTATAATTTGAAGCTAGCGATGAGTGGAAATTTGGTAACCTGTTTCTTTTCTAAAAACAAGTATGCATAGAATATGAAGCAATATTTGTTTGTGCTTTGGGTTTTTGGTAATTACTCCAAGACACACCTGATTGATGAATCTGTTTAATTATTTTTAAAGATGTTGTAAAAAAAATAAAAAATATTGTTGTTGAACGGAGTAGGCAAATAATGCCTCAGAACGTGGTTTTTTTTTCATATATTTCAATACATATTAGAGAGAAAAAAAATTTCTAATTCCACACAAATATACTTGCATGTTACTGATTTTAAGTGAAATGGGAAAAAAATCATGATGTGGGGAAGGGGCATTTTCATTTTCGTATCCCGATTTCAGCCGACATCTAAAGCAATACTTCAACGAAACACATATTTTAAGCCATCATATTATTCACATTTAATCGTGACAGTGACAGTTTGATTGACAATAAACATAAGTTGGTTGCTCACGTATATACACATGTGTATACAATTAAACTAAACTGGCCGGTGGTTTTACTTTTCAAGTGATCTACTTTCTCGATTATGAGAATACCAAATTGAATTAAAGGTTATGCGTTCCATGTCTACGTGCTTTAATATTTCATCAAACTCAGATATATTTCAGGTTTCGCTTACTTTAAAAAAATCCTTTAACATAAAATTTACTGTGTCATAGCACGGAATTAGCTTTGATTGCTATCTAAGTTCGTGGTCATAGCTCCTAAATTTAAAGCTCTTTGGCCGTTTTCGTTTACCTGTCAAACCGGTCGGACAACAGTTGTTCGTTTATTAAATAAGGTCGGACCTAGTAATCTGATGCTGCTTTCAGGCGAGCTTTGACAAAGCCTTGCAAGGCCTGCATAAACATTTGCAGGTCCGCCAGGATTAATACCAGAAATTGTTACATTTATATAATAAACGGTCAAACCGGTTGTTCCGGAATACGCGAAAGCGTCCTTAGTCCTGACAGGCCAATCCGGATAAATTGCATGAGTGGGTTTTTTTTTTATATATTAGTATTTACTACACACATCTTGATGACGTTTTACACATTCGACTTACACACAGCTCCACGGCGACCTCAAGCGTTGCGTAAGTATCTTTACCAAGGAATATAAAGTACATTTTGAATTATTTTCAAACCTTTTATGGCTTAAGTTGACTGTGTAGCTACTTTTTCTGGGTTAGGCACATGGATCAAATCACACGTTATACTGAAAACGATCGATCAGATTTCTTGACCCTATAGTAACTTATAATCCTATAATGAATCACAGGCTCTAATTGGTAAAGCTGTTGTATATAATGTTTATTTTTTTCATATGCTTACTGTAACCATATGGGAGACGAGTCTTTGACTCAATATGTAAGCAAGTTTAAATAAAGACTACTATTTTATTATTAAGCAAACTTATATACCAGCACTGTCAAATTACAAACAATTAATAGAGGCCTATGTGATTAGTACTGATTATGATTACTGGACCATCGCTCAATATATGATCAATAGTTTATTATTATCATAATGATCTATTTTTTGTTCTTTTCTTTTTTTTTTGAAATCAAGAATTGTCTTGTAATAACAGACTGACCACCACTGATTGAATATCATCATGTCTGACTCCGTCGTTAACGAAAATTATCATACAGGACTTTGTAATATTTACATCAGGCATTATCAAAAATGCCTAGCAGAGGTGAGTTTATTAATGTTTAACATACCAGTACTGTAATCTAGACATATTTATGAGTACGTGTTTCACATACATTTACCCATATGGGGACACATTTTAATTTACACATATATATATATATATATGTATAGGAGTATGTTTTAAATTTAAAAAATCAGTAACACACATTTATATATATGGGAACATGTTTTTAGTCCCCCTGACCGGTTCCCAGGGGGGACAATAGGTTTGCATTCTGTCCGTCCTTCCATCCGAAAAGTTTGTCCAGGTCATATATCTTCTATACTATTTCACCTGGAGTGACCAGATTTGGTGTACAAGGGCATCTTAGGATGACAGAGTGCAGAGCGAAAAAAGAAGGTCACTATGACCTCGCTTTGACCTTTGAACTTAACTTTTGAAAAAGTTTGTCCTGTGCATATCTTCTATATAGATACTATTTCACCTGGATTAAGCAGTTTTAATGTACAAGGACATCTTGGGATGGTTGAGTGCAAAGTGCAAGAATTGGGTCACTGTGGCCTATGATGTGACCTTTGACCTTTACTTTTAAAAATGTTTGTCGGGGGCATATCTTCTATGCTATTTCACCTGGAGTAACCAGTTTTGATGTACAAGGACATCTTAGGATGGCGGAGTGCAAGAATTAGGTCACTGTGACCTATGACTTGACCTTTGACCTTTACTTTTAAAAATGTTTGTCGGGGGCATATCTTCTAAACATCTTCTAAAGGCTACTCCTGAAGTATATGTGAAGTATAATTTTAGCCTTATTTTGTTAAGATTTAGCACCTTTAGTCAAGGTGTGAAAACAGAAATACATCTTTTAACAACTTCTCCAATTAAATACAGCTTGCTATATGGTATGATTAAGAACCTGTGTTGTGTGATTGGAGTAATGTAAAGGCAGTCATCAGTTCGGGAAACATATGGACTAAAAAATTCATGACTTATTCTCGTATGTGCTTGACACACAGATGCCAAGTTAATGAGTGCTAATGATCACTACTACCAGGTGTAAGGAAAAGTTAATATATCATGGGCTGATATAAAATCCAACCTGACCTCTGATTTACAAAAAACATTTTATGATTCTTTTCATGCTACCGTCATGTCCATTTTGATCAGATATAGAAACAGAAATTATTCTCTAATGACCTTGACCAAGTGTTGTTATTTTTTAGTCAAAATTTCAAAATTTTAGATGGTGTCCCTGCAAGTGACCGATTGCCAGAGACATTTCAGCTTATAAACTTCCACTAGGCCAATAGTGACCAAACCAGATAATACTCTCATGGTTTGAAACTGATGTTGTTATTCTCTAGGTTGATTCAGGTCAAAGATGGCCAGCCCATCCTAGAATTGCCAGAGACAATTTCAACTAATTATCTTTTGCACCAGATCAATTTTAACCCTGAGATGCAAATGCTCAGGCATCATTACCCTTATATAACCTGCTGATGTGATCAAGTGTACATATAGTGATTCTTTGATTTAAAAAGAAACCTGAGATGACAATCCCAATTTGAAATATTAAGCAAATTTTGACATCTTGTCTACAGGAACAGGTGGGTGATATGTATACAGGCCTGGTGGGCCTCTTGTTTATGTTGGTAAGTTTATCTGCGTCATTCAATCTCACTAATGAACAGGAAAGTTTTTCTTTTTCTTTTTCTTTTTTAGGCTTCAATCATGTCGCGAGTCCTTTCTGGGCCATGTGATTATGCTAAAATAAAGATGAAGATGTGCTTTATTGATGAGGTAGGTAAGAATTTCTCTTTATCCAGACTTTTGTCTCACTTTAAAAAGTCCAACGTCTTACCTATTTTGATGATTGCTTTATCTACTGCTTTATTTACTTCAATGTCTTTCACTCTGCTACTTCACTACATAATGTTAGGTATTTCTCTTGTTGAGGAAGTCGAGATACACTTGACTCAACTCTACTCCACTGTTGATATAATATTTGAGATTTTTATGTTACAAATTTACTGTCTACTGATATGTAGATTTCACCAAGGTTATAAGACATGAGTTAGTTTTCTGTACATACGTATTTGTAAGAGAAAGTTCCAATATCTATCTACCAGCTACGACTGTGGTTCAAACATGCCATTCAAAATGGCGAGATTAGTCAACTTCGATTCAGATACGATTTCAGACCTTATAGCTTACCTTTAAGTGTAAACGAAGTATGCCTATATATATAGCTAGATCCTTCGTAGCTACAATAAGCAATGTTTTTTTGTTTTGTACATTTTAAACTGTCGGAAACATCATAATTCCGCGAAATTCCAGGACAAAATTTCGAATTTGTTTACATTTTGGTTGACTTCAGAAGTTACATCGGAATGTTATAAAAGCGGAGGATGCACAAAAAGCAACTCCTTTCTCTGACTGACCTTGAGCAGTTCAAACACTCTCTAACTTACGCTTTTCAAACCAGACACATCAGAAATGTTGTTTATACCATTAAAGCGATGGGTAGGCATTTCACACGAGTGCAATAATTATGATTGACGATGTTGTGAGTATTTGAGTTACTTACAGCAGATGAAGATATCTGTTTACCTTCGCAATCGTAATGGGTGTGATGCATGATGGGATACTTCCAAAGGCAGACGATATGATTAAAGAAGGATAACTAACTTCTAAATAACATAACTAATCATAATCAAGAAGGATTACCTACTATTTATAAAGAAGCTGATTGTAATTCACGGTACAAGGGAAGCAACTCAACCTAAGGATAATTCTGAGATTTCTGACTACCAAATTTTTCCTAAAATACTGTCAATAGTAAAATTACATTGCGGTTCTGATTATCACATTCCTTTATAAATAATAATATCCATTCTTCAATATTAAATGAACTAATTAGTACTTGTATTCAAGTGTTTGATCAACTTCTTTCAACTTCCAAGATACTGAATAGGGGCGAATTCGAAGCTGAATGTATATAACCCACTCTGTTTCCCTATATCTTCCATAAAGTGTTCACTACATCATATTGGCCAGAAAAACGGCGACAGGGTGAAAAACATTACATTTATACGCCAGTCATCCAACGGGTCCTATATTGGTATGGGCTTGTCTGTCTTCATTCATGAACATATCTTGATGACACTTGATACACATATTGCATACCAATATAGCTCGGAACAAGTTTGCATTTCAGAAGTTAACATGCATTTTTGGTGGAATTATGTCCCTTTTATTTCCAAATAAGGGCATTGTGTAGTAAATGCAAGAACAATTTTATTTTTTAATTCCTTTCAAATTTTGTACGGAAATGCTAAAAGCAATAATGTTCAACATATTTAACTTTTGTTGAGTTTCAACTTTCCGCGTTTTGGCATATCACATTTGACATAGCAATGCTGTTTATCATTTTAGCCGTTAACTTTTGCTTATTTATGCGATAACTCAAACAATTATTCTTCAATTATTGTCAAATTTCGTGGGATGTTTCATTACCTGAATGCTTTGTTTGTGGTCTTAAATCGTGATATTTAAACACTATTTGGCCGAGTAATGCCCCTTTTTCATTGCAAAAGAAGGGCATTTCGTCGAAAATGCAAGATTCTTTTGATTATTTGCTCAATTTCTTTCAAGTTAAGTATTGAAATATACAAATCAAACACGTTTAACATATGTAACAGGTTTTGTTGTCGTGTTCCAACTTCTTATGCCAACACTCCTACCTCAAAGCCAAGGTTCTAGTTTTAATAAAATCAACATTGACCACGAAAGTGTAATTCTAAAACACAAAAAGGCTTGTGCCATAAACACAGTAAATGAATGGCAATGCAAGGTCACAGTCACCAAACAAAACGGTGGCAGTTAACACATTTGTATCATATGCCGCTACCTGCTTCCAATATATCAATACCCTCCCCAGTGTCTGACGGGCGTATCATGCTTCTGCTGGCGGAACTCTTGTTAGACCGATCAGGGCTTATAGATTGGCAATTCCCGTCCGTCTGTCTGCACTAAGGTTAAGAAAAGCAGTTAAGCTCAGTTTCCATGTTATTAATTATCCCTCATCAACTAAACTTGCATGGCTTGTATCGAAGGATGCTAATCACATGTGATGTTTCATATGCTGCTTCTGACCTACATTTTCTGCTTGACTGACCAGGTTACGAAGATTGGTTTAGGTCATTTACCAAATAACTACTTGTTGTGTACATCAACTAAACTTGCATGGCTTTTGTATCTTAAGAGATCCTCATCACATGTGATGCTTAACATGAAAATGTACTATAGCAATCTGGCCATATCACCATTGGCAGTTTCTTGTTCCATTATTAATTAGTATATAGCAGTAAACGGATCTATCAGTGGCTGCACGGTTAAGGGGTCTGACATCGGGGGTTTGAGGCCTACTTTATTGTATGGGGAGCAGTCACTAGATACAGCCATTTACCAGTGTGTGAAGGGTAAACCTGCACAAGAATAAGCAAGAGTGTTTCAAGATTGTGCAACACAGCTAAAAAACAACAACATGCAGATGCCAATTAGCTTGATACTTTTAGAGAATTATATAAACAAAGGTGAAATTACAGTTAATATGGTCTTGTGTCAAAATTACGGAACAATGTTTTTATATGTTCATCATTATTCATCTAACATTACACTTATTTTTACAGAAGTTAGAAAGGGCAAAGGATCGAAAAGCGTTTAAAAGAAAATTGAAGAGAGAAAGGGAAGAGAGAGAGCAAGAGGAAAAAGCTAAGAATTCAGCAGCACCATCCTCTTGAAGTATTATAAGGTATGGTTTCATCATTGGCAGGTGCTGGATGATAGACTACTAACAGTATTGTTTGTCTTTATAGCTAAATTGTAGCCCCATTTCACAGGGGATTTAGGCAGGTTCTCACCCACCTGTCTACAAAGCTAGGAGTATTTGGAGGTGCTACTCTTTTTTTTAAGAGAACCTTTTGTTATCACTTGTTGGTCAGTATCAGCACCTTGCTCCTTACAGAAAATGTGTAGTTAATTATTTCTGTATTTTCTTTTACATGCGCTGACAAATTTGTTGTGGTTCTAATAAGGATTACTTTCATGAATATATTGGAGAATCTTAAATTTGTGCAAACCTCAATATTTGCTTGTTTTACAGCATAATTGACACCTGGTGGGACTACAGATCAGCTGTTTAGTGTGGATACCTGGCGTTTCCATCATCAGCTAGTGGGGACACCTGGTGGGACTATAGAACATCTGTTTAGTGTGGATACCTGGTGTTTCCATGCTCAGCTAGTGGTGACACCTGGGGGGACTACAGATCAGCTGTTTAGTGTGGATGCCTGGTGTTTCCGTCATCAGCTAGTGGTGACACCTGGGGGGACTACAGATCAGCTGTTTAGTGTTGATACCTGGTGGTTCCATCATCAGCTAGTGGTGAAACCTGGTGGGACTACAGATCAGCTGTTTAGTGTGGATACCTGGTTTTTCCATCATCAGCTAGTGGTGTCGCCTGGTGGGACTATAGATCAGCTGTTTAGTGTGGATGCCTGGTGTTTCCGTCATCAGCTAGTGGTGACACCTGCTGGGACTACAGATCAGCTGTTTAGTGTGGTTACCTGGTGGTTCCATCATCAGCTAGTGGTGTCGCCTGGTGGGACTATAGATCAGCTGTTTAGTGTGGATGCCTGGTGTTTCCGTCATCAGCTAGTGGTGACACCTGATGGGACTACATATCAGCTGTTTAGTGTGGATACCTGGCGTTTCCATCATCAGCTAGTGGGGACACCTGGTGGGACTACAGATAAGCTGTTTAGTGTGGATACCTGATGTTTCCTTCAGCAGCTAGTGTTGACACCTGGTAGGACTACAGATCAGCTGTTTAATGTGGATCACTGGTGTTTCCATCATCAGCTAGTAGTGACGCCTGATGGGACTACAGATCAGCTGTTTAGTGTGGTTACCTGGTGGTTCCATCATCAGCTAGTGGTGACTCCTGGTGGGACTACAGATCAGCTATTTAGTGTGGATACCTGGTGTGTCCATCATCAGCTAGTGGTGACACCTGGGGGGACTACAGATCAGCTGTTTAGTGTGGATTCCTGGTGTTTCTATCATCAGCTAGTGGTGACACCTGGGGGGACTACAGATCAGCTGTTTAATGTGGATAGCTGGGGTTTCCATCATCAGCTAGTGTTAACACCTGGTGGGACTACAGATAAGCTGTTTAGTGTGGATACCTGATGTTTCCTTCAGCAGCTAGTGTTGACACCTGGTAGGACTACAGATCAGCTGTTTAATGTGGATCACTGGTGTTTCCATCATCAGCTAGTGTTAACACCTGGTGGGACTACAGATAAGCTGTTTAGTGTGGATACCTGATGTTTCTATCATCAGCTAGTGGTGACACCTGGGGGGACTACAGATCAGCTGTTTAGTGGTGATACCTGGTGTTTCCATCATCAGCTAGGGGTGACACCTGGTGGGACTACAGATCAGCTGTTTAATGTGGATACCTGGTGTTTCCATCATCAGCTAGTAGTGACACCTGATGGGACTACAGATCAGCTGTTTAGTGTGGATACCTGGTGTTTCCATCATCAGCTAGTGGTGACACCTGGTGGGACTACAGATCAGCTGTTTAGTGTGGATACCTGATGTTTCCTTCAGCAGCTAGTGTTGACACCTGGTGGGACTACAGATCAGCTGTTTAGTGTGGATACCTGGTGTTTCCATCATCAGCTAGTGTTGACACCTGGTGGGACTACAGATCAGCTGTTTAGTGTGGATACCTGGTGTTTCCATCATCAGCTAGTGGTGACACCTGGTAGGACTACTGTTTCAGTTGATGGTGACGCCTTGTAGAATTTCATTTTTCTACCATTGAGACAATCATCATGTATATATGTCGTTAAACGATTTTATGATGTTACATTGATGCTCTAAGACAGAAGAGCTGTACTTTTTCCCTGTGATGTGGTATAGAGTAAGAAAGACAATATAATTGTTAAATGTAATATATGATTGTCTGAAAGAACTGTCATGTGTGGATACTGCAGAAATGTTAATACATTTTTCATAGAACAGGATGAATATCGTTAATAAATTCCATTTTACTTTCTGTTTGTTTGATAAGAATTATTTTTTATGGAAAGGCACATGTTTTAAAATAAATAACAAATACAATGAAGGAGGCAACTATTTGGGGAAAAAATTGTAGATGCAGAAAGCAAAACAAATTAAACATGTTACTGCACCAAATGGCCATATCCATTAAGCACTCATCATCAGAAGTACTTCAGGTAATTAGAATAAAAAAATCCATTCCTAAAATGTTTTCAAACATATGTATGTGTGAATATAGCAAATTGGAAAACGTGCATACAACCGTTTATAACTTTTTAGGTCACCTGAGACAAAGTCTCAAGTGACCTATTACGATAGCCTTTTGTCGTCCATCTTCCATCGTGCGTCCGTAAACAATTTACATTTTCGACTTCTTCTCCAAAAGCCCTGAACCAATTTCAATGAAATTTTGCAGGAACCTTCCATGGACAAAGGTCAACAAAAATAGTGGCCGGTTTAGTCCCAAGCCCCCAGGGTCCTGAGGGGCCTGAGGGGCGGGGCCAAAAAGGGTCAAATTGACTAAAATTTCAAAAATCTTCTTCTCAAGATGGAAGGGTCTTAATGTGCTTTACCAAAATTGTGAATTTCATGACCCTGGGGCCTTACATTTCCCCCTGGGGAGGGGGTAAACTTTACTATAGTTTATATAGGGAAATCACATTTTGGACCTACATTTGTTTAATTTCCATTGGAAGTAACTCAATTTAGGTTAGCATTCTCAGTATTAGGTAGCAGTTTGATGGTATGCACATATCAGCCCTGACAGACCCCCCGGGGCTGATGGGTGGGGCCAAAAAGGGTCGAATTGACTGAAATTTCAAAAATCTTCTTCTCAAGACCAAGATATGGTAGAATCAAATACTCTTCATAGATGGAAGGGTCTTAAGGTGCTTTACCAAAAATGTGAATTTCATGACCCTGGGGCCTTACATTTCCCCCTGGGGAGGGGGTAAACTTTGCTATAGTTTATATAGGGAAATCACATTTTGGACCAACATTTGTTTAATTTCCATTGGAAGTTATTCAATTTGTGTTAGCATTATCGGTATTGGATAGTAGTTTGATGGTATGCACATATCAGCCTTGACTGACCCCCTGGGGCTGATGGGTGGGGCCAAAAAGGGTTGAATTGACCTAAATTTCAAAAATCTTCCTCTCAAAGACCCAGATATGGTAGAATCAAACACTCTTCATAGATGGAAGGGTCTTAAGGTTTATGACCCTAGGGTGTCACGTTTACCCCGTGGGGAAGTAGGGTGGGGGGATTTAATATGGTTTATAATGGCAAATGATACTTTGAATATTACATGTTAATAACTTGATTGGAATTATAACCTTGAGTTGACAGCTTGATACTTTGAAAACTTTTAGGGCCAGCCCTACCCCCAAGGGCTGTAGGGTGGGCCCAAAGGAGTCAGTATGCTAAAATTTCTTCATTTTCCTTGTTTAGAAACAGAGGTGCTAGTTTCAAATACTTTTTTGTCTTAAATCTGTATGCTAGATATTGAATAAGGTGGTTTTATTGTTTTTTGTCACTTTGAATAATATTTCTGTTCATGTTAAAAAAAAAATCAACTCTCTGTATAAATATATCAGGTGACCGTTAAGGCCCATGGGCCTCTTATCTAGTATATATACAACTACAGGTTACAACAGATTATCTTTACTTAAACTAGAATTTTAAGTAAGCGGTGTCAGAGTAATCTACAAGCCGTCAGCCATCCTCAGGGACTGAAAGTGAACCTTCACTAGTACGGAAGAGTAAACTCATCTACAAGCCGTCAGCCGTCCTCAGGGACTGAAAGTGAAACTTCACCAGTATGGAAGAGTAAACTCATCTACAAGCTGTCAGCCATCCTCAGGGACTGAAAGTGAAACTTCACTAGTACGCAAGAGTAAACTCATCTACAAGCCGTCAGCCGTCCTCAGGGACTGAAAGTGAAACTACACTAGTACGGAAGAGTAAACTCATCTACAAGCCGTCAGCCATCCTCAGGGACTGAAAGTGAAACTTCACTAGTATGGAAGAGTAAACTCATCTACAAAACTGTCAGCCATCCTCAGAGACTGAAAGTGAAACTTCACTAGTACAGAAGAATAAACTCATCTACAAACCGTCAGCCATCCTCAGGGACTGAAAGTGAAACTTAACTAGTACGGAAGAAGAGTAAACTCATCTACAAGCCGTCAGCCATCCTCAGGGATCGAAAGTGAAACTTCACAAGTACGGAAGAGTAAACTCATCTACAAGCCGTCAGCAATCCTCAGGGACTGAAAGTGAAACTTCACTAATACGGAAGAGTAAACTCATCTACAAACCGTCAGCCATCCTCAGTGACGGAAAGTGAAACTTCACTAGTACGGAAGAGTAAACTCATCTACAAGCCGTCAGCCATCCTCAGGGATCGAAAGTGAAACTTCACCAGTATGGAAGAGTAAACTCATCTACAAGCCGTCAGCCATACTCAGGGACTGAAAGTGAAACTTCACTAGTACGGAAAAGTAAACTCATCTACAAACCGTCAGCCATCCTCAGTGACGGAAAGTGAAACTTCACCAGTATGGAAGAGTAAACTCATCTACAAGCTGTCAGCCATCCTCAGGGATCGAAAGTGAAACTTCACCAGTATGAAAGAGTAAACTCATCTACAAGCCGTCAGCCATCCTCAGGGACTGAAAGTGAAACTTCACTAGTACGGAAGAGTAAACTCATCTACAAGCTGTCAGCCATCCTCAGGGATCGAAAGTGAAACTTCACCAGTATGGAAGAGTAAACTCATCTACAAACCGTCAGCCATCCTCAGTGACGGAAAGTGAAACTTCACCAGTATGGACATCTACAAGCTGTCAGCCATCCTCAGGGGCTGAAAGTGAAACTTCACTAGTACGAAAGAGTAAACTCATCTACAAACCGTCAGCAATCTTCAGAAACTGAAAGTGAAACTTCACCAGTATGGACATCTACAAGCTGTCAGCCATCCTCAGGGATAGAAAGTGAAACTTCACCAGTATGAAAAAGTAAACTCATCTACAAGCCGTCAGCCGTCCTCAGGGACTGAAAGTGAAACTTCACCAATACGGAAGAGTAAACTCATCTACAAGCCATCAGCCATCCTCAGGGATC